AAAAAGAAGCAGAAAAGAAACAGAAAAAAAGAAAAAGAAGAGAAATAGAAAAAAGAAAAACGAAAAAGAAACTGAGAAAGAAAAAGGCGGTTCAGAAACCTTCTAGAAGGTTCCCAAAACCGAAAAAAAAACGGCTGGAAACATCATAGAAGGTTCCCAAAACCGGTGTCTGCTGTAACGCTAAAGCGGGCCGGCCCACTCGGTCGCTCGCTCGCACCTCCCCTGTGCGGAGCGTCGATAACTTGCCGCAACGAGCGGCAAGTAGGATTTTCCATCTCCCGGTAAGAGGAAACAAGAGGATATGGAGCGGTTATTGACTTGGCCCAATGGTAATTTTGTCCATGTACAAAATACAAAAGGTCAATTGTTGTCTAATCATCGAAAATAGTATGCAAGTATATTTTCAAAGGTTGTGAATTTTGTAGTGCCATGCTTCAGAATCAAAGAATAGTAATGGCATGTTTCAAAACTAGAAACTTTGTAGTGGTATATATCAAATTTACCCAAATAAAAAGACACGCCAAGGCTTGCATGAACTGCCATAATAGCAATAACAAGTGCTACTTTGGACTATCAGTATACTTTTGAAACTAAATAATGTTTTATAAAGCTGCAAAAAAAAGTGTATGAAGATAGAAGATATGCAGTAAAATCCATATCATTATACATTTGAAGATAGAGGATATGTGTTACGCTATGTATGAAACTACAATAATTTTGACCAACCAATTTTGTCACATGCTAAGTTATTCCCAAACTTGGAATGTAGAAAAATAAATCAGAGGGAATAAAACTTACTTTTCAAAGTTTGCGTGAGCATAGCTAGGTTTTTTTTTTCCAGGGGAGCATAGCTAGTTTTGACTAGGAGTTGATTTTTTATCGAAATGTGCCTCAAATAAAACTTTGGAATTATTCAAAACCCTAAATGTAATTTAGGGATTATTCATAAAACCAAAAAATTGAGCTCACAGAAAGGTTGTGACCTTTTGTTTATTTTTTGGGTTGGAACTGATTTCCACAAATCTCTGGTATTTATTTGAAACCTAAATAAAAATTGGTAATTAAATTGAACCCTAAATAATTTTGGGAAATAAATTGGTATCCCAAAAAGGGTGAAAATTACAATATTTAATTTGGACTGAAAATTACTTTTCATTAGTCCCCAAAATATTTTGTGCCTTTGTTATTTGTCCCAAAAGGGTTTTAATCATTTTAATTTCTGAATCAATTCAAAAATAAAAAGGGAATAATTTTAAAAGGGGTTAAATTTAATTTTGGCAGGATTTTTTTCCTAAGCCTTAAATATTGATTTGACCTTATGTTAATTTTCTCAGATGATTTTAGAGCAAGTTTGAATTTAAATAATTTTGACATTCAAATGGTAAAATGAAGACGAAAAAGCAAAACGGGAAAATGAAAAAAAAAACAGTTGAGCGCGCCAGCCTAGCCGGCCGGCTCAGCAAGCTAGCCTTTGCTAACCCGCCCGAACCGGTACGGGAGCGCGTCGACCATCCGTGTTATGAAGATCCAGCGCCCCAGGACGCACCACGTCGCCTTGTCATCGACCTCCCACCGAAAACCTCGCTTCCATGATCCTGCATTTACCGCGCCCATGATCGCATGTCCGGCCACTCCCCACACGACCCGAGCTCAAGACCATGTCCTATAAGAACCCCACGAGCTCATCTCGATTTTGCCCCAACTTATGTGGTCCCTCGCCGTCAGCTTGTGCCTTCGTGAACCCACCTCGTCCGCCTTCTGCCAGAGCCGCCGCCAGCCAAATTTCCGCAAGCCACCCCCACTAGCGCCTTCACCACATCCAGGCGCACCCGCCAGACATCCTTCGCGCCTCCAACGCTTCCCCCAGAGCTCCGTTGAGAGTCGAGCCTCGTCGTTGCCGCGAGCTCGACGTCGAGAAGGTGAGCATGAACCCGAGCGCCCCACTTTGTCTCTTGTGTTTGTCGGGTCCACACGTGCATGCCTGACCTAGCTGCGCACGCGAGGAGCGCTTGGAATCGACGAGTGTCTTCACCTGAAGATTTCTGCCGCCGTCGCCCCCGTTGTCACTGAGCCAAGCCAGCTGCACCAACCAACTATTATATCAACTCCACCCGCGCCCCCAACAGCCCTCCGAGGCGTTTTTTAGCGCCAGCGCGCGAAAATCGGCCCAGTCGCGCCCTCCAGAGCTTGTTTTTTTCCGGGTTGGGCTGAAATTGGTGCTGGCGGACCCAGGCCAAACCTGATGCGTTGGGGGCGCTCGGGGGCGTCGGGGCGATTGAATTTGGCGCGAAAGAAAGGCGGGCCCGCCGAGTCAGCAACCCACACGCCTCGTCGTCCTCATTGCCTCGGTTTCCCATGGGGAATCAATGCCAAGGCTGCCCACCGGTCAGCCTTCCATGATTCCTCACGGGCGGCGCGGGGCGCGGCGATGCCACACCTCCCGCCACGCGTACGCACGACGCCCACCCTCGGCCGCTATACAAACGCGCCCCCCTCGCCTGAGGCACTCCACCCACAGCCGCCGATCTCTCGCCGTCAAGCTCTCTCCCCGTTCCTCCCCTCTCAGCTTTCCAAGCCGCGACGATGGGCGAGAGGTTCCCCGGCGATGGGGCGGCGGCCAATGGCTTCGGTCGTCGCTCGCTGCACGAGTGGGAGGCTTACCTCCTATTCAAGGCCAACGTGTCGGCGCCGCCAGACATGCACGCGCCGGGGTGGTGGAGGCTCAGCGCCGGTGGCGTCCCTATCCCCCCGCTGCCCGACGTCGACTTGCGCCCGACCAGTTCGCCAATGAGGTCGCCCGCGTGCGGGCGTCTCTGACGGAGGAGCAGCGGGCCCTCCCGCAGTACGCCGCCGACAACCACGAGGCCTGGGCGGTGTACTTTCAGCACCGTCAGGCGTAGCGGCTCGCCTCCACCAACGGGGCGCCGACGGTGCGGGGATCGAAGAACAGCGACGGCCGCCGCCTGTGGTGGGGTGCCCCTGGCTGGACTCTCCACGCCGTCCTCTAGCACCTCGAGGACAGCAACAAGCCACCATTGACGTACCCTACCGTCGGCCCCCCACCGGAGCGGCGACCAATGGATGCCGCACCGGACCGGCTCATCCTCTTCCTCCTCCCGCTCCTCCTGCTCATCTGCGTTGCTCGGCGTCAAGGCCGTGCTCGCGGAGACCACCGCGACGCCGCTCGGCCGGCGCACCCGCAGCGCCGGCATCGTCGTCAATGAGGGTGGCGCGCCTCCTCCTCCTCGGCCCCTCCCAGCTTCGTCAGGCCGAAGACGGAGTCGGGCCTCGCCGTCGTGAACACGAAGCCAAGGCTCGCCGACGAGACAGGCCTCGACGACGAGGCGGCCTTGAAGTGGGCCCGCGAAGATTGGGCGCGGACGGAGCTGGAGCGCCAGCGCCGCGCCTTGGAGCAGTACTCCACTCGCCGCCGTGGCCGCGATGAAGGAGGCGTCGTCATCCTCGACGACGACAGCAGTGACGACACGCCGCCTCCGCCGTCCGCCTGGGCGACCCCTGGCAGGGGTCCAGCAGTGGCGTCCATGTCAAGGAGGAGAAGAAGGACGACGACGACGACGGCGACCTTGGCGACCTCGCCGCGTTTTTCGGCCTATAGTCGCGGCCCTATTTTGTTTTTAAGTACTTTATTTATGTAAAAGAAACTATTTCAATTCGCCGGAATAATATAAAATGTTTCGTCGAATATTTGTCCAGTTCGCAGAATTTTAGGTTCAAAAATTTTAAAAACAGCCGCCTAGGGCCGATCCTGGCGTCGTCGGCTGGAAACCAGATCGCCCCAGGCCGATTTTTAGCGTCGGTTCACCCCCGGGCGGTGATTTTTCGAGCCGCCTGGGGCCAACGGCTGGAAATGCTCTTACCTCTTTAGATCCACCTTAGATAGTACACAACATTAGTGCTATTACTGCTTTACCCCGTTCCAGGAATCCTATGTGAAAAGTAGATCCACCTTGGATAGGGTACAACTATTACTGCTTTCTGCAAATGAAACCAGCCACCACTTGTCCCAAGAACATAATTTTGATTTGCTTATATTTCATTCAAGTGAAATTTGCCATTCGATGTATTGACCCTTATGGCTGTAAAGGTATCTTGATGCTCATGTTGCAGGATTGTTATCAAAGGAGAGATACGAAGTAGGGTTATGATGTTATACTCAACTTTTAGCTGTGAAATGAATGCCACAAGATAATATTGTAATTCCGTTGCATGATTATATAAGCTAGCCTTGAGCTAGACTGGTATCTATTCTAAAGAGATTGAATCTATGATGTAATACTATGACTGCAATGCAATATTGTGACATATGATGTACTCCCTCCGTTCTAAAATAGATGACTCAATTTTATACTAAAGTTAGTAAAAAAATAGATGACTCAATTTTATACTAAAGTTAGTACAAAGTTGAGTCATCTATTTTGAAACGGAGGGAGTATCTTGGTATTTGATCATGAATTGTGCACGACAGCCATTGATCGAGGGACTAGAACAGAAAATAGAGATTCACGTTCCTTATCCGGGACCAGGTCGCCACAAACTTGCACTACGTAGGTCATAAACATGTTATTTTTACCGTCGAACACACGGGCAAATTACTAGTTTAAACTGAAAAGAGAGAGTTTCACGCTCTCTCAAGAGAAGTTTCAGAAACAAGGATATGCACATTATTAGATCAGACAGTTGCAAATCAATCCACATCTCACAACCTTAGTATCTACTCGTAGCACACAATCCTCCCTACGATGGATCAGAACATATGGATACCTGAGGCATGTTTGGTTCATTACCGCACTTTGCCCAGTTTGGTCGCCACAAAAGATGCGAATTCACACAACCCAGGTGTGGCGAAGCATGGTAACCAACCAAACACGCCCCTGATGTTTTGACGGAAAAATAGGCATGGTAACAAAGAACCTGCATAGTTTACATCAGGATGCAAGGTATTGCATCGTCATCCACATTTGAGATTTGACCTCTGGAACCTAGAGATTCTGAGGTTTTCTTTGTGTAGGTGACCATCCATCCATTGATTGCAGCCTTTGCTTCAGATGGAACACTTCAACCTGGCAAAGCAAATATCACAGATGCAAATGTAAGTAAAACTGGATATCAGCATGGCAAATCATGAAAAAATGGGAACTGCTATTGGCAGTCCCTCTGTATCTACCAATCAGGAAAGAACCTGATCGTACAACATTGCCATTATACCTGGAGCTGGAATGCCCTCGCGCGCTCTCCTGCTAGAACTCCGCGGGTCGAGTGCAACTCCTGTTTAGGGGGTAAAATAGTCAGTACAACTGCATAAACACTGGTACAATGAGAGATCACAGGGATTTTTTTTTATTTTTTATTTTTGCCTTCTGAGTTTCATCCGTGACTGCCTTCAAGAACGCCACTTCACGCTCGAGCCGCACGTTATCAGCATGGACAGTGTTTGAGGCGTTGTTTGAATCTTCGTGTGCCTGTTCTAATCCTCCCACTTTCTCCTTCAGCGCCACAACCTCCCTGTCTCTCTCAGCTAGCCTCTTCTCTACCTCTTCCTTTGTGTCAATGACCAGAGATAAGTTCTTTTCTGCTTCGTCTTTGCTCGCCATTGCAGCTGAAAGTTGCTCTTCCAACGCCATGTTTCTCCTGACCAAGTTTGCGATTTTTGTATCATGCTGATGGTTAATGTCAGACGAACTTCTGCCCACCCTCTTCGTTTTAGCATCCGCATCTGGAGAATGATATGTGTCACTCCGCTGCTTTTGGTTTGAGAAGGATGGTAGCTCAGAACAACCGTCAACATCCTTGTACTTGTCATCGTCGATTGGCTTCTGCAGTTTTTGGGCCAGGCTGCATTCCTCCTCCTGACGGAACTGCCTGCGGAGTGATGAGCCGCCCACCTTCGAGTTATGTAGGAGTGAATCAGGGAGCGATTTCCTCCCAGATGAGCTTTCCACTGTTGTCGCGAGACTATGCCTTGCTACAGAGTTAGAGTACAAAGGATCACAGTTGTTGAGGTGATCGGCGAGTTCCTTTGAGCTAGGAGAAGAGTCCTCATACATTAAGGGTTCTGCATCAGGGGCAGACCGCCAACTGAAACAATGTTCATTTTGCAGCACCACTAGTACTTCAACCTTCGAAAACACAAAATAATCTGAATTCAGGAATAGTAGCTTGATCAAGAAACAGTTCCAAGTGTTTTCTAAGCAAAATATGAAATAAAAAAACAGTACTACATTTTGAAGCAAATATCAGAAAATCCCCTTGCAACGAAAGAACAAGAAAATGAAGTCCAAAACTCCTGATACTAAAACCGGCTATTCTTTTACTTAAAAAGGTTAGTTTTTCACCTTGTCAGATGGCTCCTTTTTGTTTCCTCCAAACGAAACAAGAACAATCTTATCCCTGTAGTACAAAGGAACCATGCTGAAACCCTGCACGAGTTGTATCTTCAATTGTTCAGCAACTAGAAAAATGGCAGCACTGGAATAACAGGATAGGATTTGCTTTTGGAGAGTGTTGTTTCTGCTCTACTTCAGCATGGATTACATAGGAAACAACTACAATGATCTTTATTTTTCTAGTAAGGGGGGCGTATTCGACTCTAGTCTTCTAGCCAAAACCTTGTCAACTCCTTAATTAATGGACGAGGCAAAAAAAGTGCCTCCGTTTCAAAAAAAATATGGTACAATAGGATTACATAGGAGAGTACAACTTTATACAATCCTAAACTTTGCATTCTCTACATTTTAGGAAGGTTCAATATGATACAATATATGCCTTCCAAGATCACTTGGAATCCATCAAGGATGACTTGCACTTACTTTCTTGGTAGTGATGGAGGAACTAGGAGGTGCTACACAAACAGACCACTTGGATTCTAGGACATCAAAGACCCAAGTTTCCGGATGACCTGATAGAGACCGAGAAGACTTGTTAGAAAATTACCAGAAGCCATGGTTCACATGAAGCAACTCTTCTAAGAAATGAACACACTTCTGATTAAGGGTTAGAAATGAAACTGAACCACTCATATGGCATATTATATACAATTGTATGAATGAGAGCATCACATTACAAACTTACGCCTTTTCTTGCTTCCACCCCCTGCTATATACCATTTCGTCCCACAGAGAGCTCCACAGCAACCTGCCCGAGGTGATGGATGATGACCATGTGTTCTCATTCTTGACCATAACATCTAACAAGAAGAATGATTCTTTCAGTAGGAGATCAACAAGAAAAAATAATTGCAGAAACCTGATCGAACATACTGTTTCAAAATCTAGAGCGTGGACATCATTCAAGGTCTTGGATTTTGATTCGCCTCCAAAAATCAAAAGAATTCTGTCATCGTAAAGTGCAGCAACATGATTGGATCTTGGAGAAGGTCCAGCACCTCTAAAATATGAACTTGGCTTAGTAGCAGAAAATAGCGCATCAAATCAAGAGAAGCATCAAGAAGGTTCTATGCATTGAGTGTTAATTAAACTTTATGTATTGGTTCTGCAAATAACTAGGGACAAACCAAGTGTAACTGAAAAAACATTCTTACTTGGCTTCTTGTTTGTTTCATTTGTTTAATGACATAACACTTCTTAGTTTTAGAAAAGAATGACTCACTTATAGTTCAAAGGAAGCCATGTTAAGGACTTCAGATCAAACATATGAAGGTCATGTAGTTTCTTCCCTTTGGTATCCTCGCCCCCAAAAAGAATTAAAACAGGGCCTGCTCTAGTCACTGTATGACCACTTCGAGCCACCTGAAATTATCAATTGAGGAAAAAGCTTCTCTCATTTTGCAATGAACATTTGAGCATTGTATAAATCAATGTTCGAATATGTACCGGAATGTCGCCCTTCGCTTCCATATGCGACCAGATCTCGGTTTCCGTATTGAATGTCCATACTGCAGTAAAATAAATGATGAAGTCCAAATTATTTCTGCTGAAAGTTTAACATTAAATCAAATAACTAAAAGAAATACATGGGATTTTCAGAATTAAGTAGGACAGTCAAACCTGATATCCGGTCAGAAGATGGCTCGCTTTTCCCTCCGACAAGAATGACAGTCTTGCCCCATGGAACCTAAGATTCAAAAGAAAACCATGACGAATGTAACAAACTTCACTCAAAGTGCAGCCCACCTCTGGAACTCTGGGCATGCATGTGTAGCACCTCACTTTGGGCTTTTGTACTCATTTCACCTAGAGGTGTAGTGTTAACCCCTAAATGCTACCAATTGGGCAAGCAGGCATTATATGCATGCAATGTGGTATTAAGGGCTGGAGAGTTGCAATTGAAAACAAAATGAGAAACGAGAAGCGCTAATCATTGTTGTAGTAAATGACTTCGGCTCTACTTGAGGTCCCACCCCTATCCTACATGGCCCACCACATAGATAGACAACAAAAGTCAAGGACAGTCAACACCAGTCAAAGAAGTCAACAATAGTCCAAACCATCCCCCATGGGTTCAAGCAAGACACCCTAGTCAATGAAAGTCCAAGCCAAGCTTTCATGGTCAACAAGTCAAAGGAAGAAGACCACATAAAAGAATGAGTCAAAGTTGAAGGCAAAGGAACAAAGAATAAGTCCAAGCAAGGCTTCGTGGTCAACAAGTCAAAGGAAGAAGTCCAAGCAAGGAAGCCCACGAATAGCGTAGGGCTTCTCCCTTAATCGGCCACAACCCACCTCCTAGCCCAACTAGAGGTACATGGGCCAAATAACGGAAAATTTCGTACTTCTCCTAACTCCTCACTTCAAGGGTACCCTTTGTCAAGGACCCCTAGGCTATATAAGGCCCCCCATGGGCATGTAAATCACTCACTCCCACATGAATAAACTCAAAAGGAGGGTCACTCTCCCCTACTAGATCTCTCAGGAGAGTTAGGAAGGTCGAGATTTGGAGTCCAAGGGACCTTCAAAGGCCCGGACTAGTCGAGCCACACTAAGTGTTCCATGTGTCAGGCACCACTATCGACGACCCTTCCATAGGACGTAGGTAGCCCTCCCACGAGGCGACTGAACCTATTTAAAAAACATCGTTGCGTCACTTTGTCAAGTCCGCCGTACCCACCCCCGCCTACTAATATTTAACCACATTGCTAAGGATTCCTTGGTTTGTGAATCTCTCCGGGCGGGATATTCCGAGCAGGAGATGGCGGACTGCATCGACGGGATCATTCCAGTGAGCGACAAGGCATGGAATGGGTTAGGAGCCGCAGACAACATGGAGGTCCTCCGGCGGGTCGTACATCGTCGGCGGTTCGGCCATGGAAAGGGCCTCTTCGGAAGGTTAGTCTCCCATCCTTGACACTTGGTGATTTCATCGGGTCTTGGACGAAGGTGCAACGACGAGGAAAGAAGGGGCGACGGGTGGTGGAGCCGCCGCCGCCGGCGGTCGCCGATCCGGCTGCGCTGATCCGGGCGGCCAGGATTGGGCGTTTGAATTCCCTTCTAGGCCATGACGGGCCAGAAGTGATTCAGCCCAGTTTGAGAGCTGGGTATTTGGCCCAGCCTCAGGAGTTTCACGAGACGGGCGGGTCAAGCGTAACTGGGTATACGGCCCAGTCTATCGCGTCGTGTGGGAGCCCGAATCCTTTCGAGTATCGACAGCAGAAGCCGGTTTCGCCCAGATCGATCGATACTCCAATTTCGTACGTGCATGGTGCGGCGGCAGCTAGGGCTAGGCAGCGCACCTCATGTGGTTTCCCTACCAGGAGCGGACGGGCGCGTCGAGTGCCGGCCGTGACTCAGCCATCGACGCCGCTGATGGCCGGCCGGGGTGATGGAGCTGAGCCGCCGCTGCGTGGGCAGCAGGAGCCGCCGAGGCAGCAGGTCGGGGACGGCCCGGGCAGGGGGTCCGCCGATGGCGGTCAAGCCAATGCCGCGGGGCGCACAAGACTTGCTGGTGGGCGTGCTGGTCATGGCATGGGTCGTGGCGGTTTCAATGGTGGTCGCAGCGGCTACGGTGCTGGTCACGGATACAATGGAGGATATGATGGTCGCGGTTGGAACCAGTGGAATAATGGCGGAGGTCGCGGATTTGTCGGGAACCAATGGCAGCGGAACTTTAACCCTCCACCCGGCGAGTTTGTTGAGGGCGCCACGGGTCCCCATTACCGTCAGAGAGATCGTCGAGGTGGGGATGGTCGTAACCCTCCTCCGCGCCGTCCGTTTGTTCCGAAGGCAGCCCCCAAACCGGTTCTCCAGCCGAAGGGGACCGTCAGCGGGGCGACCAAAGTGGCAGATACCGCCACTTCCTCTTCTGCAGCGCTGCCAGAGGTGGAGGCGGCGGCGGTTAAGGCTCTGGCTGGGGTCATCATTCCAACTTCCACACCTTCAGATGACAAAGATGGCCACAGTGACAAGGGAAGCGATAAAGCGGATGCGGTGCGTTCTAACAAAGCGGCACGTAAGAAAGAAAACATGACTTGTTATCGTTGTGGTGTGCCAGGCCACTTTGTGATTGACTGCACGGCGGTGCTTTGTGATATATGTCTGAAGTCGGGACACTCATCTGGCTACTGTCCGTTGCTTTTGGTGCCTATACCTGTGGTGAATATTTACGGTGTCTGTAATACCAAGCTTATGTTCTTTGAGACTCCACGCACGATTTCAGCGACTCCTGCGGTGGACAGTTCGAAGTTTGGTCTGGTCAGGGTTACTCAGGGGACATTGACTGAGGAACAGGTGTGTCAGCAGCTCAGGCGGTTAGTCTTTTCACTGGTCTCTCGTCTGGTTGGAGGATCAGGTTTACAGAGTGGAGTTCCCTAGGAGGGAGGACCTTCACCACCTGCTGAAGTGTGGACTCAGTAAGGTGCCCGGGAGTAAGTGCATTCTTGAGTTTGATGAGTGCAAAAAACCTGAGCCGATGGGGATACCGCTAGAAAAGGTTTGGGTCAGACTCTCAGGAGTTCCAGAGACTCTTCTTAATGACTATCTTATTGTTGCGAGTCTTGGCTCTCTGTTAGGTAAAACAGAGAAGGTGGACATGCCATTCACACGCCTACATGGAGAGGCGAGGCTACTTGTTGGTGTTGTGAATGCGGATTATATTCCAGACTTCGTGCCGTGGACTTATGATGGGATGTCTTATGATCTCGATATTGTGGTTGAGGTTCAGCAGGCAAATAATAATTCTGGGATTACTGATGTTGATATGACTGATGGTGGAGATGGTAGTGGTGATGGTGGTGGCGACCAGGGATGGAAGGCAATCCCGGCGATCACAGTGGACAGGACAAACCAGCCATGAAACCCACACAGCCGACTGAGCCGAAGACTGACAAGGGGCCGGCGCCCCCAACCACTCCGGCGGCATCTCTCCGGTTTGGTTCGTTTCGGGCGGTCTCCGCACCGAGCCGTCTTTGGGGTGACGGCGTGAAGATAGAGGACTCTGATGATGATCTTCCAGCACAGGTGGTGGTGGAGGAGCACCGACAGATGGTGGATGAGATTTCACCGCAGCTGACGCCGCATCGCCGCCCAACCACCCCCGTGGTGATGAAGGTGTCTATGCCGGCGGTGGCAGTGGAGGGTCGACCGACGGCGATCTCCCCACCTCCTACAGTGGAGGGTTCTAGCCATCCATCTCGCTTTCTGGCGTCACATTCAATCAGTTCGACACAGGTGGTGACCAGATCGGGCGGTGTTGATAGCAGATCGGCAGGGATCCGTACTTCGGGCGTCGCGGTTATTGGTACCGCGGTGGAGCAGTCTGGGAGGCCGGTGTCTCCCATCGCTTCTGACTTAGTCGGGCATACGGCAGGCGGCCACAGCCCGACCAGAGTCGCTCGGGAGGATGTCATCGCTTTTGGAGGTATTCCGGACCCTATGTCTGGTGACAGACGGTTCAGTCACCGGATCCAGGGTCAGCCGGACGCGGATGACATACAGATGGGGCGAGCCATGAGGGCCGCCAAGCTTCGAGACATCGAAGTTCAGACAGGTATGTCAGTTAATACAAGTTGTTCAATTCTGCACTTTTCTGAGCATGATATTATTGATAAAGCCAACAACTAGGGATCTCTCTTGGTAGTAATGACAAAGAAACCGCAAAATCAATTAATGATCTACTAGATTTAGAGACGGATAGAGTTGTGGATTTAATACGACATCTAGCAGCAGTAAAACCCATGAATGAAGCAGAAATCAATGATCTTGGAGTAACTGTGCTTCAGAGTCTCTATGAGGATTTGGTCCCCACAGAGGGCTTAGAGGCGGAGGAGGAGGATATGGTTCCAGAGGGGTATGTGGCCCCTTTGCAGCCAGAGGCCACTCCTGACACCGATGCTCAACCTATTCAGGAGATGAAGGATAAACCAAGAAAAACCTGAAAGAGGAAGGTTTATCCTACATCGGCGGTGCGTTGGAGTGCAAGAGTGAAACAAAAGAAAAAATTCCAGGATGAAATATGAAAGGGATATTCTGGAATAGCAAAGGTCTAGCGGATTTGGCTAAAAGGAGATTCCTTAGTGATACATCAGTAGAACAAAAATTAGATTTTATGGCTTTATTGGAGACGGGTAGCGACAATTTCACCTCCCAGTTTCTCAACACCGTTTCAGGGGGGTTGATTTTGATTGGCATTGTTTACCTCCAAGAGGGAGATCCGGAGGGATACTACTTGGGGTGAAATGCGAAACTTTAGAGGTGCTGGATGTGGTTCACGGTGATTTTGCTGTCAAATTTCGTGTAAGGTCGAAAATTGACAGCTTCCGATGTGCTTTGGTGGCCGTATACGGTGCGGCACAATCAGAGCTTAAACCGGAATTCCTCGCAGATCTGGTGAGAATTTGTGGGGATGAAAGGTTGCCAATTCTGGTGGGGGGAGATTTCAATATCATTAGAAGACAAGAGGAGAAAAATAATGACAACTTTGATGGAAGATGGTCATTCATGTTTAATATGATAATTGAAAGTCTCGATCTAAGGGAGATTGACCTCACTGGTAGGCAATTCACGTGGGCCAATTCTTTGCCAATTCCTACTTATGAGAAATTGGACAGGGTTCTCACTAGTGTTGAGTGGGGACAAAAATTTCCGCTAGTTACGGTTCAGGCCCTACAGAGGGCCATCTCTGATCATACCCCACTACTGGTTGATTCCGGGGAAGCGACCCATGTGGGAAACAAAAATACTTTCTCTTTCGAATTAGGATGGTTTGAGAGGGAGGGCTTCATCGAGCTCATTGCGGCTGAATGGGCCAAAGACATGGGAGGGTCTTCTAATGTGGAGAGATGGCAAAACAAAATTAGACACCTGCGCCAGTTTTTGAGAGGCTGGGCCAAACATCAAAGTGGTATTTATAAAGTGGAAAAGGAAAGATTGACACGGATTATCAATGAACTTGATGTGAAAGCGGAATCCATACTTCTGAGAGAGATATTAAGAATGAGGCTGAGAAGAGTTGCAAGCCCTTATGAGAGAGGAGGAGATGAAATGGGCACTTGGAGCAAAGGTTTCTAAGATCGTCCAAGGAGATGATAATACACAATTCTTCCACATGATTGTTAATGGGAAACATAGAAAGAAAAAGATAATACAGCTAGAACAAGATGAGGGTACAATTGTAGGACACGAGAACCTAAAACTATACATTTCCGAATATTATAAGAAACTTTTTGGAGCACCTGAAGAAAATTTCGTTTCTCTTGTTGAGACTGTGATAGGGGACATACCACAACTCAACTTAGAAGAGAATGAGGTGTTGTCTGCCCCTTTCACTGAGAAAGAGGTGTTCGATGCTATAACACAAATGAAGCATAATAAAGTGCCCGGGCCAGATGGGTTCCCGGCGGAATTTTATCAAAAATGCTGGCATATCATAAAGAATGATCTTATGCCTATGTTCCATTATTTGTTCGAAGGCCACTTAAATTTATTTCACCTCAATTTTGGAACGATAACGTTGTTGCCAAAGAAGGTGGAAGCGGTTCGCATTGAGCAGTTTAGACCGATATGTCTTCTCAATATAAGCTTTAAGATCTTTACAAAGGTTGGCACGAATAGGTTGACATAGATAGCCCATTCAGTCATGCAACCAACTCAAACTGCGTTCATGCCAGGACGACAAATCCTAGAAGGGGTGGTAGTTCTACATGAAACATTGCACGAAATCCATTCAAAGAAACTAGATGGGGTTGTCTTTAAAGTGGATTTTGAAAAGGCATATGATAAGGTCAAATGGCCCTTCCTTCAACAAGCCTTACGTATGAAGGGGTTCAACGAAGCCTGGAGGTCTCAGGTGGATTCATTCATACAGAAAGGCAGTGTCGGGATAAAAGTCAATGATGATACAGGTCTTATTTCCAAACACGTAAGGGGTTACGTCAGGGAGATTCCATGTCTCCTGTGCTGTTCAACATTGTAGCGGATATGTTGGCAGTACTCATTAGTCGGGCTAAAGAGAGTGGCCAAGTAGGAGGTCTGGTTCCCCATCTTGTAGAGGGGGTGTTTCCATCCTACAATACGCGGATGATACTGTTATTTTCATGGAACATGATCTTGCAAAAGATAGGAATATGAAGCTTATTCTATGCCTTTTTGAACAAATGTCTGGGCTAAAAATCAACTTCAATAAAAGCAAATTGTTCTGTTTTGAGAGAGCTAAAGAAGAACAAGACAATTACAGAAACTTGTTTGGTTGTGAAATGGGATCCTTACCTTTTAGCTATGTCGGGATCCCAATTCATCATAGACGGTTATCGAACAAAGAATGGAAATGTATAGAAGATAGATTTGAAAAAAGATTAAGCTGCTGGAAGGGCAAGCTAATGTCTTACGGAGGACGGCTGGTGTTGATTAACTCAGTTTTGACGAGTTTGTCGATGTTCCTCCTATCTTTCTTTGAAGTACCGGTGGGGGTACGGAAAAGATTAGACTTATACAGATCTCGATTCTTCTGGCAAAGCGATGAGGCCAAGAAGAAATACAGACCGGCTAGATGGGATATCATGTGTAGACCAAAAGATCGGGGTGGGTTAGGGATCGAGAATTTAGAGGTAAAGAATAGATGCTTGCTTAGCAAATGGCTATACAGACTATCTATGGAAACCGAAGGCATGTGGATACAAATCTTGCGGAATAAATACTTAAATAATAAGACTTTGGCCCACGTGAATGCAAGGACAACAGACCCACCGTTTTGGAAAGGGTTAATGAAGACAAAAGTAACTTTCTTCCAGCGTGTGAAGTTCCTAATTGGTAGTGGTACCTCTACTAGATTCTGGGAGGACACATGGCTAGGGGAGATGCCTCTGGCTTTACAATACCCTTCTCTATATAATATTATGCAACGTAAGGAGGATTATGTCGCCACAGTATTAAATTCAGTACCACTTAACATCCAATTTAGGAGATCTCTTGTAGGGGAACGTTGGAATGCTTGGTTACACCTGGTCCGTAGGTTGATGGATGTTCAACTTTCAAACCAGGCGGATACAATTAGTTGGAAGTTAACCACAAATGGATTATTCTCTGTGAAATCCATGTATTTGGACTTAATTGACGCCGGGCCATTATCAAGGTCTTTGCACATATGGAAGATTAAAGTTCCACTCCGCATCAAGATCTTTATGTGGTTCGTCCACAAAGAAGTCATATTGACCAAAGATAATTTGATGAAAAGGAATTGGGTTGGTAACCCCAGGTGCTGTTTTTGTGATCAAAACGAAACGATTAAACACCTCTTTCTAGAGTGTCCACTTGCAAAATTGTTATGGCGATCTATTCATATAGCTTTTAACATCCAACCTCCAATGAGCATAAACACGTTATTTGGGACGTGGCTTAATGGAGTAGACATACACATGGCTAAACATATTCGGACAGGGATATGTGCTTTATTATGGGCTATATGGAACACTAGAAATGATATGATTTTTAATGTACACCATTCACCAATTTTTTGCAGGTTATTTACGGAGCTACGGCCTGGATCCGTATGTGGTCGTTACTCACTCATGCGGACTACAGGGAGCCTATGGTTATTGGGTGCAACCGCTGGGAGACGGTAGCACGGGCTATCTTCAGCCGATTTGGATGGCGAGTTAATAATAGGCTAGGTGTGTAGGCATCGTAGTCTGTTCTTTATCGCTGGATGTGGCGCTTTATTGCCAGATGTGGCGCTTTACATACTTATTTTCTCCTTCTTTGCTCGGATTTTAAGCTTACTTGGATGTTAAGACTTTGTTTCGATTTCTAATAATATGGCTGCATGCATCGACTGATGCAGAGGCCGGAGGTATTCCTCCTTTTCCAAAAAAAAAACTGACAACCCTGAAATGCACTACTAGTGTAAGGATATCATATGAGAAATTGAAGAAAAAGACCAGAGTAGTGAAAGAACAATGAGCTCCAAGAAGTATACCAGGCAATGTCCTTTGCATGGTCGAAACTGCACACGATGTCCACCTGGTGATACACGAACCTTAGAAGCCACAGAATCCCATGTAAGCTTGTCTAAGCTTAATATCTGAAGTGTATATAAAGATGATATCACGAAGTTAGCTCAAAACTGACATAAGGCCATGACAGATAGGCTCGTCTAGAAAAACAACATCAATACCTTTGTATCATCCAGCAAATGATTACCGGAATCTCCACCGAAGACAATCATTTTGCTCCCTACCATGGCTGCTGCATGCTGTTTGAAATGGTAACCAGATGAATGTGTTATAAAGGCTTCAGTAACGAAACCGATAATGATGAAAACATCACAACTTCCTATACACTTCAAAACATCAATAAGATGGTTAATTACATCAAAACGAGGACTCGGTTTATCCCCGTCCGTTGACAATACTGCCCAGTTCTCTGAGTTTTCAAATGCACGGCCATTGAGGTCAAAAGTATCAGAGGAGCAACACCAAGCAAGGTCGTCGGGACGGCCACTCACTGACGTAACCACTGGTTCTTCTCCCTGAACAAATAGCCATTTAAACACAATCGAAATACAGGTGAGTCAGAAACAACAAGTGAAGTAAGTGAACAAGAATAGCTCACACTCACAGTGAGGTGACTGGACCGCTTGGTGGGATGGGCAGGACTCCGAGGGCCATGGAAAGGATCATGCAGATGACCCTTCAACCTGTAGAAATCACAAGACCATGGAAAATGTGAGAGCGAAGAGTACAAAGAAGCATCAAACTAGGAAAATGGAGCTGGGGAGTAAATGGTTCCGTTTCATCACATTTCAACCTTCTCTCTTGAGAAACAAGAATCTTATAAATTAAGAGGAAGGCTAAGATGGTCAAGCAAGGCTAGGTTACAAGAACGAACCCAGATGTCTACAGCTCACAGAAACTAAAATCACTTGACCAAAGATCACACGAAAATGTATGTCTGAGTACTCGGTGACTTGAACTTGATTCACATTTATTAAAAGGTAGTGTCCTGTGTGCATCATATGATGCAGAGGCAGAGGCCAGGGTACTCCCCTTTTCACTTTTCAGGAAAAAAAATCACACAAAAAGGATATATTAGTTCTTCCTGAAAATCGTCTAAATGCTCAGGCGACTAACCATAGAATCAGCAAATCTAACTAAGATCTCTCCTAAAAGGATATCTATGACAATAGATATCAGTAAAAAAAACAGCCCATTATTACCTAAAAAAATATATAAAGAAACCAGTAGTAGTACTAGTTAAGAGAGAAAGAAGAAGAAAAAAACTGGCAGCAAAGAAGAGGGGAGCTTAGATTTATGAGCGGATCCTGATAGAAGGGAACCAAAATTTGACCTTCCCAGCTTCATCCGGCGACGAGAGAAACCGAACATCTTGGGCTTTGCGGCGTCTTGAGCTCCAACTTGTTTCCCTTAGAAACGGAACGGCGAAACCCTACTAGCGCAAACTGTTCTCACCTGCAAACACGGAATGCTAGGGTTAGCCGAGTAGGCTATTAATTAACGAGGACGAAAAAAATCGTCATGTGAAAAAATACGGGAAGAAGTCAAATCTTTTTTCCTTTTTTGAAAAAAGATATTGTCATTGGAACTCGAGAAAGAACAGCAAGACATCAGAAAATTCAGGGGTGGGGGGAGGACATGAGCCTTGGGCAAAGAGAAACCAACAAATAGAGTAGCAATGCAAAAAACAGGGGGGAGAAAATACTTTATGTAAACAGCACCTCTCAGGTATTGTGCCAGGAAAACTCTGCATTTGTCTGAGGTTCTCAAGAACAAGAAGCAACATCGGGCATTGGCGGAGCCAAGAAGCAAGCAGGCACGTGCACAAGTAAGAAGAGGGAAATAAGGATTCAGATAGAAACACAAGTTAACCCCTACCTGTTGTTGGGTCGGAGCAAGAGGAGAGAGCTCCGGAGGGAAGAAGGGCTAGTGACACAGAGCGAGCGGCGGCGACAGTGACACAGACCTCTCGCTCGGAGCGAGAGGGAGAGAGAGGGGGCAAGGATGGGAGAGGGGGGAAGCCTCTGAGCGGGACCTGCCTGCCTGCTTTGCAACTGTGCCTGTGCGGAAAGTTTTACAGGAGACGGTTGCGGTGTGGCTGCATCCGGCTGCCATGGCCGATGCAAAAGCTGATTCACTTTACTGTTTACCATGCATGAGAGATGTTATTTACACTTTACAGCGCCTCTCCGATTCTTTCTTCTTCAGATTTTTGTGTCTATTGACTTCAGGTGTGCCTCGTGTGCGTCGAGTCAACACTTTCTTGTAGACGCCCCCGCTCCTAACCCTACCTCGCTTCCGTGCGGCATCGCCGCGCCGCACCGGAGCGCCCCCCGCCGGCCGTCTCCCGTTCACTCCAGCGCATCCCCTCTCCCCCGCCGCCGCTGCCAGGGCGTCGCAGTCAAAGCATGTGTGCCGCAGCGACGGCGGCGGCGTTTCTCCTCGGCTAACGATTCGGTCAGGACGGCGGTGGTCCGCGATGGCCGGATCTACGGCAGTGGTGCGGGGCGGCGGCGGCGTTCGGCGACGTGTCCAGCGGTGGCGGCTTGGGCACCTGATCTGGGTCCAGATGGGCTTCGGGCGGGCCACACTTGCTGATGTCGTGTACCATCCCGTCAACTGCATGTTGCTCCTGGGATCGACCCGCATCACGAGGACGTCGGGGGCTCCAGCCCTGGGCGTGGCGGTGGTGGCCGCCTCCTTCGTCGGAGATGGTCAGCCTGAGGCTGGGTGGTCGGATCTCCAGATCCGTCATCTAGTCCCGGCTGCGAGTTGGGGAGACAGAGTTGTCGGTGAAAATCGAGCCGATGGCGGGCGATGGTGGTGTTTTTGCGTCCTTACCTTCATGAAGCCATCATCATATAACTTATGTTGACCCACTCGTGCTGCTTCGGGGAAAATCTTAAGATCTGGTCATCCAGATCGGACGATTGCGGTGTCGTTACTCTCTTGGGAGCATCGTTTGTGGAGCAGCGCTGGAAGACAGTGGCAGGAGTGAAGCGACCAAGTCTTGCACAGAGCTTCGGTGGAGATGTCAAGTCATGTCTGACCGACAGGTGCTACGCTGTGTCATGTCTGCTCGGCAGGTGTTACGCACGACAAATCTTCCACAGTCTTCGCGTCTGGATGAATGCACGCAGGGCAGTGGGCCCGTTGGGCGCGGTGGTGGCGTCGACGGATGTCTGGAACATTGCAAGCATGATGCGGATCTCTATCCTGAAGATGGGTCGGCGGTCAGAGGATGATGGCGGCTTCAGCCTTCTAAAGCGTGTGCATGTGGTGCGCGCTTTAGGTCTGCTGCACCGGCTGTTGGTCCCGATACGTTATGTGGATGGATCGGCAACGACACCGGTTTAGATATGAGGGTGAGAGCACTCCACATTATCGAGTTTGTAGGTGTGAGTGGTGGCTTCGAATGGCTTGATATATTTTCTTGTTAGATCTTTGTGAAATAATTAATAAAAATGATTGTATGCATCGATTGATGCAGAGGCCGGGATTTAACCTCCTTTTCCAAAAAAAAGACGGTGACAGTGCACGGAAAGATGTATGTAGCTTTTAATTCGGTGGCAAACCAACATTGCAATCTGTTTTTCATATGAATTCCCTCGAGACAAGGACACATGGTGCCTGGTTACCACAGGCTCACAGCCACTGGCCCGTTGCTGTGATGTGCTGTGCTGTGAGACATGCATGAGAGAAAGCCAGCATCTCTAGTAGACTTCCTATAACGCGAACCCACAAAACGGCGTTTGCAGTTCATGGAAAAACGGTTTTACGGACCGACACAGGTGGCCGCAAAGTCAAACCCCGCAAAACGGGCCGGTATAAAAGGATATTCACGGAATATGCTCTTTTATGGGTCGGCTTTGCGGGTCTGCTCTTGTGCCTCTGTCGGCGTTCTGGGAACGGGGGTCCTCAGACTTGCCTGCCTGCGGCCTGTGGCGTGGCTCTAGGGGCGGCCCAGCATGGCCCATCTTCATCAACACGAGTTCAAGACCCTTGCGAGGGGCCAAGCCTCGTGGGGCGGACGACATGAGGCTTCCTCAGGCACGGCCTCGTCAGGCTGGCTCGCGAGGAGGCGGAGAGATCAAGGCGGGGTACCTCGCGAGGTGCCCATGACGCAAGCCATGAGGACCAAGGGCGTCGGACGGGCGCCAGCCCGCGCAGTGTCCTTCTTTCCTCTTTGGTGCAAAGGGGGCAAGTGGAGGCGAGAGCATCAAGCAAAGGCAAAGGAAACCAGTAGAGAGAGCAACTGAACTCCCTTAGCAATTCATTGCACCAGCCAAGAACAGACCCTCGCGAGGCTGTTCTTCCTTGTACTGTTCATCATCAGCCCAAGAGACAATCCACCACACCACACACTGGAGTAGGTTATTACATCACAATGGTGGCCTGAACCAGTATAAACCCTGTGTCTCTTTGTGTTGTTCCCTTGATTGCATAGTTCATAGCGAGGCGGTGAGGAGCAGGTAGGTAGAGGGCTAAATCCCCACGCGCACCCCAGTGTTCGAATCTAGAGGGTCTGCCGGAACCCGAAATCCGAAATTTGGCGCGCCAGGTAGGGGTGCGCCGTAATTTGTCTCCCACCGCCCAGTTCTTCACCGACCATCGCGTCCATGTCAGACGCTCGTCGGGCCCGCGCCGAGCGCCGAGCCGCTCTCGCTTCCCGCGTCGCCCAGACGGCCCCCGTCGGCAGCCACCCCCGTCATTCCCCGTCGCCCGCCGTCAACGCCACCACCGGCCCGACGGGGAACGAGCAGCAGGCATCGTCCCAGCATCTATTCATGAGGCGAGACGGCCGCACTGCCACTCCCTCGCTCGCCCGGCTGGTTCCTCGTCCCGCGCGCCCCCCACGGCCATGGAGGCTCGGGCTATGCTCATCGCGGCAAATGAGCTCCTGCGCTACCGCCCGGTCAACGACGTCTACGAAGAATGGCTCGACCGCGTCGCTGAGCTCGTCCGCGCCGCAGGGGGCTCCCCCGCGCCGTCCTTCTCACTGCACCGCGCCCCGCCCTACGCGGGCAATGAAGCTCCGGGGGCGCCTCAGCTGCCTCCCCCTCAAGAAGGCGCCCTGGCCCCAAGGCGCGTGGCCCCTGGACGGAACCCACCCCGTCCGGTGCCAGCGCAGCAAGAGCGGAGCTGCCAAGAGGTCCCTCGCCCCCAAGAAGCTACCCGAGTGCTCCCTGCTATAGTCCGTCGCGACCACACTCCCGTTCCAGCACGCCCAGGCCCCGCGCTGCTCCCAGCTGCAGCGCACGGAGGCCCGCAAGACCAAGCTCCTCGTCACCAGAGGCCTCCCGCGGCCACAGCAGGCTGCCGCGCCTTCACCATCGAGCTGCGCAGCGTCGCGTGGCCCTACAAGTTTAAGCCGGACCTGCCCCCTCGCTACGACGGCATGGCCGACCCTGCGGAGTTCCTCCAGCTGTACGAGCTGGGCATCGAAGCCGCCAACGGGGATGAGAAGGTCATGGCGAACTAGTTTCCCATGGCACTTCAGGACGGGGCCCGCACCTGGCTCCTGAACCTGGCCCCAGGCACGATCTCCTCCTGGGACGAGATGCACACCCGTTTCATCGCCAACTTCCAAGGTACTCGCGACCGGCCACCTGCCGTGAGTGACATGCGCCGCATCAAGCAGCAACCAGGGGAGACCCTGCAGAAGTACATCCAGCGCTTCAACAACGCACGACTCAAGATTCCCAGGGTGACCGAGGAGGCCATCATTCCGGCCTTCTCCGACGGCGTGCATGACGTCAAGATGAAGGAGGAGCTGGCGATGCATGAAGATCTATGCACTTCCTTGGAGCTGTTCAACCTGGCAACCAAGTGCGCCAGGGCTGAGGAAGGGCGCCTTTCCCTCCTCGAGCTGCCAGCCGCAGACCCATAAGAGAAGAAATCCAAGGCCAAGGACGTGAAGCGCAAGGGGGCTGCTGTGCTCGCGGCAGAACCAGACACCAAGCGGGGCAGAGATCAGCCCGGGTCTTTCAAGGGCAGCCGGTACTGTGTGTACCACGACCTCCACACCCACAACACCAATGAATGCCAAGAGCTCCGAGCCGTGCGAGAAGAAAGGGTCGGACGGTGCCCCGACCGCAATGATCGTGGCTACGGCCGAGGAGGAGGAAGGAACGCTGGACGCTGGGAAGACCGCGGCCCTCGCCAAGGGCGGCGCGACCGACCTCGCGAGGATCGCTGGCAGGATCAGCATTGTGAGGGAGACTAGAGGGATCAGCCTCTCGAGGATCGCCCACAAGGGAACGCAGGCCTCCCTCCACTGCCTCTGCAGCCTAGGAGAAACGAGGACCATCATCAGGACGAGGGGGCTGGAGGCTTCCAGGAGCCACGCGCGATCGCCTGCATCCTCGGCG